GGCAACCCATCCAAAGCATCAATACATCATAGTTTGAGCAATAACTTTTGAATTATTACCTTATAACCCTACTCCATGAAGAAGTAAACCTCCAAAATAATAGAAAAGGCTTCCTGTAACATCTATACCTCGCTTAATCAAAATTAAGTCAACAATTCCCCAAGAACAGATCATTTCGAATCTGACTTAAGGCTGAAGCTTTGTGAGACCTCATAAGGCAGCAAATCTGATCTGACAGCCCAGGCCACTGAAGGGGGTAGCTCTGTTCCTTTCCCGCCCCCAAACCTTTCTTTGCTCTCACTGTGCCTGCTGATATCTGACCCCAAGACGAGACAGTTCAACTCACCAAATCAAGAGAAAATCTGCCCAGAAAAACAGCAAGTATTTTGCTGCTGGTTTAGCAAGCTGAACTAGCTCAACCAGAGGTTGAGCACTGCCAAAGACAGCAAGGAGATAGGAGCGCACTGCCAAGAGGATACTATACTGCTAGACCATCTTTTTCAGCCATCGCTAGATCAGTTGAGTTAATGAAAATTTGCCCGTTCTGTTTAACAAGAGATCACTGTACACATCTAACCTTAAAGCCAAAGTTAAGGAGGACTGAAAGGGAAAGCCCACTGACACTCCGTACAGTTGAGAATAATTATATACTTATGTAAGTCAAGCAACCACATCTCATTCCATCACAGTTTAATTTCTCCTTACTAAACTATAGATTCATATCTTTTTTCAGTGGATCCAAATTAGAAAGCAGCAGTTTTCTGTAAGCCTGCATTGCCTTATTAACACAAAGAGAGCTGCATAAGTTTCATTATAAAAACAACAATGCACCAGCTCATAACTGATGTGCTTTCTATGACATGGAAAACATGGTAACATGTTTCATGGTAATGGAAAACTTTAGTGGTAACATGGAAACATGAAACAGTAAAAACTCAGCTTCCTTTTTAAAGAGGCAAAGATGGAAGAAAATAACTTTTTGCTTCCAAAAGTCTCTGAAGACAGCCTGAAATGCTGTCCAAAACTCTCTCTTGTCTCTCTACCAAACTCTTATCATTCTCTATTAGTACTCCAATCTCCACACCACTGTCCTGGACACTAGATGTAACTTTTCAACGAAGCTCCTTGGAAGAAGGATCAAGGTTAAAGGAACATCCCTGGAAATGTTTTCTCTTTACATAGGTTAAATAGCCTAAACAGAACACATACATTAGCAGTCTACTTAAAAAGACGACTTACAAACTAGATGTAGCAGATGAAATGTACTTAGGATTTAAGGGAAACTAAAAGAAGAAAGCTTACCATCATTGATTTCAAGAAATATCCTTTCAAGTGCTATCTTTGACTCAATGTTACATTATTTATTCCTAAGGGTCATTCATGGCTTAAGCGTGACTCTTATTTGATGTGTACTGATCTGCAGTGGATTACCGACGCAAGAATTATCTCAGTATCTAACAGACGCGGTTACTTAAAATAAAGTCCTGGTGGTTCTTTCACTCATTTTAGTAAAAATATAGCATTTTCTTAGCAAGAAAAGAAGCAGACCTTAAAAAAAAGATTAAAAAAAAGACAAAATCATAGCTACCTGATATATACACACAGCACAGCTTCACTAAATGTAACTCATGCTCTAATAATCTAATACAACTTAGCCAGAATGAAAATTATCCTCTTAAAGTAGTTAGGGAAACTTTTTAGAGGGATACTTAGATAATTATGACCTAACAGTTAAAACTGAAGTTATTAGCATCTATATTATGCAGAAGATCACAAATAGGTTGGTCTTCAACAAATAAAGTCCCTCTCCCCCTCCTGCCCCCCAGGACAGGAAGACACGCAGAGTGTGATACTTTGTCCAGTTTAAGGCAGAATTATATACTGTCAATTTAGGTAACAATAGCTCTCTCCCTTTCATAATAGCCACAAGATATAACTTTTGATGCTGAAAAGCTCAAACAATCAGTTGAAAGACAGCCTTATGTCAACTTTGTACATAGACAAAACACTGACTTCCAACTGAATAGTTTCAAAATAAATTCCAAAGAAGCAAGTATTACAAGTTTAAGACAGACCATCTTCCCCATTCTCATTTAAAGCATTTTCCTTAAGTGTGTTTCAACCTATTTCAGCTCTTTCTCTAGGTTCACTTTACTTAACATATAGAATATACAGTGTATTTTAAATTGTTAACACTGTAAAAGGTCATTGAAATTAATTCTGTTCTTGCAATGCGTATGTTTTACTCTACTCAGAGAAAAAAAGTATTTAACACCATAACAGGTACGCCTCAAAGCTCACAAGTTAACAGTCTGACAAACTAGAATTTTCTTAGTTACTGTGTATCACACCAGCAGCTTTTAGCATCTAAAAAAAACTAAAATAACTTAGCTGAAAGTGATTTTTATAATTTCAAAAACTTATTCAGTTTACTATTTTCAATGAAGTTGCAGGCTTTCGATTTTTATTTTTCAGAAGTGTGGCAAGAGATGACTAAGACAACTTGCAAGAATCACATGTACCATTACTAAACTACATAAAGGCCTGCTCTGTAATCTGAGAGAACTCTGCAGTTACTTCGTATGGAAAAAACGAACATAAGATATCAGAATTCAAACATGGTAATAATTTAGGATACAGATTTTCAGAGATATTGCCACCCACAATACCTTGTAAATAGTAAAGATAGCAACTGCTTATAAATAGCAAATACTCTTTGATACAAAAGACACATCGCATGCTTAAAGAAACTATTGTCCAAGTATTATTTAAAACATAGATTATTACAATTCATTAAAGGGTGAAATGAAAATCCACACGCACACCGTTCCATATAATTATACAAGACATATCAGATCTGTTAAGTCACAGTCGACAGATAACCATGTAGGCTTTATTCTCCAGTTGGTGCTTACATTTTACACAGAGGAAGAATGATATGGGTACTAGCTTAGGACACAGCAGATTCAGGTATAGCTCATCTACAAGCTTCCTGCTCAGCCTTGCACACTAGTTCTCTGTGCCTTCATCCCATGTTGAATGGTGGGCTAAGAGCAGGAAGATTTCAAGGTACTCACATTATAGCAGCTGAGTCCCAAGTATGTAAGATAACGAACACCCACTTTTTGAAACATAGAATAGAAGGCTGACAATCATTATATCTGTGTTTACATATGTTAGGAGTGACGCATGTTCACTCGGCATGACAAATTCTGAATCCTTCTCCAAATCCCATAAAATCAAGGACCTTAAGAAACAAGTAGAAAAAGTTTGTTCATAAATACGGTGACCCGAGAGATCAAATGCATGCACCGTTAGGCCTACATCGAATAACGTCAGGTAAGAAGTTTTTCTCAAGTGCATCAATGGCTCTTTTCTGTAAAAGCAACTTTCTCTGTGTTAATTATCTGACATTTAAAACTCAGCTCGTTACATTGCTCCCATTTAGAAACAATCCTAAAATCAGTCCACGCTTCAAAGTCATGATAAAGGCCTAAAATTACAGTGAAGACTGTAGCCATTCAAAGCTAGAAAGATCCTGGAAGGAGGGATTTGACAACACCATAATCACGCCAGGCATTAGTCTCCAGCAAACTCAGACCTGAAGTAGCAGGTGAAGGAGGCCCAGGGTTGCCTTGCCAATGGAGAGCCAACCCTCATTCCTGCACGCCAAGGAGGGCCCAAGCAATCGCATCGCTCCAAAGGGCCCACACACACACACCCACCGTTGGTGACACCGTATTTGACGTAGCCCTCTAGTACTGAGCCAGCGCCGGTCCCCTCACACAGCCCTCCAGCCCAGGCCTACGCTCCCCCTCCCCTAACGGCTACCCCACAGGCCAGTTAATCGAGAGAGCGACCGAAGTCCCAGCCACAAGCGGGCCCCAACCGAGAAGCTGCCAACCCCAAGGCCGACTCGGGGGCGGCCGAAGGAGAGGCGGCCC